AGCCGTCGCCCCGCCGCCGGGCCAGCGTGGGACCGGCCCTGGACTTCATCCTCCGCCGACCGCCCGGCCCGGTGCGGGACACGGCCTGTCTGCGGCCCGCTGGACGCGGGGACGCTCATCCCCAGGCCGCTGCCACTTGGCCCTTTTCTCACCCCCGCCGGTCTAGCAGCTTCGCAAGGGATGAGTTAGGAAATAATAGGGGCTGTCATTCCAAAAGCAAGAATATTAATCTCCAGTCTTAAAATTGCCTTACACGTCTCCCATTTACCAGCACAGTAGTCTTATCAGTATCTAAAACAAGCCTAATTTTCGCAGGCAACAAAAATGTGTTCTTTCATACACGGTTGTGGGAAATTGTAAAATGGTGCAAGTACTTTTAAAAAAAATAATCTGACAGTTCCTCGAAAAGTTACCACTTGTCCCAACAATTCTAAATTATGTTGTTGCTATTCTTGTGTGTCATCAAGTCGGAACCGACCCATAGCTGACCCTCCAGCGGGTTTTCAGAGGCAGTAAATCACTCGGGAGGAGATTACCCATACTTCTCCTTCAGAGCAGCTAGTGGATTGGAACTGCATGACCTAGGCATGCAGGTACCCGGAGAAAGGAGGGCTTGGATTCTCCACAACGGAGCATGGTGAGCAGTCTCCCTCCTATAGCTCAGGCAAACTGTGTTACTTTCCCCTGTAGCTCTTTAATTTTCTCCTAGGACTTGCAACTTTTTGCCCTTCACTCATTTCCTTATTTAGCCAACATTCTCTAAATTTGCCATCTCAATGTCATGATTATGCCATTAGCCAGGATATCCCCTTAGAATACTAGAGCCTAGAGAACGCCAATGCTATATTAGTCTATGTATTTACTTAATTACTTGTATTACTGAGCATTCAGATAAAAACACTTAACTGTCTTAATTGATGCCAGAGAGGGGGAGATTACAAATTTCAAAACTCCAAACTGAACTCATCTCTCTAGACACAACTCCCAACTCATAGCAACCCTATATAACATAGTAAAACTGAAAGTTGGACATCATTAAGGATAACAGAAGACTAGATGTCCTTGAAATGTGGCATTGTAGCACAGCTTCTTACAAATAGGCCATCAGAGCTCCTTCTCTTAAAGACCCAGAAGTAAGAAAAACATACCGCCACACACAAAACACAAGTTCACAACAGCTTTGTTCATAATACATGAACAACCCAAATATCCTTCAGTTGATGAATGGGTTAGCAAAGTGTGGTCTAGCCATATTGTTGTGTGCCAGCAACTCTATTCTGACTCATAATAACCCCATGAGAAAGAGTAGAAATGCTTTATAGGGTCATTAAGGTAGGATCTATATGGAAGGAATGTTGGTGGAGTTACCTGATAGGTCAGCAGTTTGATTACACCAGCTGCTCTTCTGCAGAAAGATAGAGCCTTCTTTCCTTAATTTTTTTTAATTTTATTATTTTTGTGTGCGTGTACCGTCAAATCAGATCTGACTGGTACAGGAGGAGATTGTCCCTCCTTACCCGGCAGAGCATCTGGTGGATTCGAACCATTCGCCTCTGGGATTGTAGTTGCAGCTCCTTGCCACTAGGCCACCAGAACTCCCCTAGAGCCTTCTTTCATAAGTATTTATAGCCTTGGAAACCAGATAAAGGATCACTGTGGGTGGGAATCTCTTAGCTGGCAGTGGATTTGTCTTGGTTTTTGTGTTGGGGTTTTTTTGGGGTTTTTTTGTGTGTGTGGGTTTGTTGTTTTTTATTTTCATCTTTAGAGAAGCAAATCAACACGTCTTTTTTTTCTGATTTTAACTGCCATCCTTTCAGCTGGCAGCCAACTTATCCTTGGACGACTGTGTTTCCTTATTAAAGGCTACAATGCAGTATCATTTGCCTTAGAAATGAACAAAATACTGATCAATATACAATATTGATGATAGACCTTGATAACAGGATGCTAAGAATCAATGAAGCTAGGCACAAAGAGCCATGTTTGTATTATTCCAGTTATTTGGAGGGTCCAAATAGTCAAATGTATAGAACTCGAAAGTAGGTTAGTGGTTGCTTAGGGTTACGGCACCTATAGGACTGGTGGTGGGGAGTGATGACTAAAAAATACAGGTTTTTTTCAGGTGATAAAAATGATCTGGAATTGATAGTAAAATGATATATGACAGGGAGCTTTGGTGGTCTAGTGGTAAAGAGTTGTGCTGCCTGGGGGGGATCTGGTGGCCTAGTGGCAAGAAGCTGCACTGCAATCCCAGAGGCCCACGGTTCACATCCACCAGATGCTCTGCCGGGAAAGGAGGGACAATCTCCTCCTGTACCTGTCAGATCCGATTTAATGGTACACACACACACACACACACACAAAGAGTTGTGCTGCCAACTCAAAGGCACTTGGTTCAAATCTGCCAGCTGCTCCACGGGAGAAAAATGGGCAATCTCCCCCCTTGCGATTTACTGCCTGTGAGAACCCACTGGAGGCTTGGCTGTAGGTTGGTTCTGACTCACCAACATAAAACAACAATGTTTTTTTTTACTGTGAATATACTTTTAAAAATTATATTTTATCAGTAGGTCCTCAGTAAATATTTGCTAAGTCTTACAAACATTCAAGAATGAAGGACTTGATTAATTTTAGGATCTCTTTCAGAAGGGCTACTATTCAAGGAGTTCATTAATTAGAAAGCAAAACAAATTTCTCAAGGTAACCATCTATTTTGGAATATTTTCTCTTATTAAAAGGTATAAGATGGAACATACGGTTTTACAAGGGGATAAACCTGTGCGCACGCACACACACACACACACACACACTATTTATATGTTATCTGTGTAACATAAGACACCAATTCCTTTTGGCTATCTGAGACCATTTGATTAAAATACTAAGTTTTCAAATTTTACCAATGAAGAAAATTCATATTTTGGAATAATGATAACTTTTTTTAAATGTATTTTATTATTTTGTTTGTGTACCATCAAATCAGATCTGACTGGTACAGGAGGAGATTGTCCCTCCTTCTCCAGCAGAGCATCTGGTGCGTTCAAGCCACATACCTCTGGGATTGCAGTGAATAACAGCTTTTCAGGGTAGAAAACACACTACTCTAAAGATTAAGATCTGAGCTATAATTTTTTTGTTTTGTTTTCAAAGATAAATTTTTATTGGAGATAGAGGCCGAACAACAGTGGCAACAAGGATCACAGTCTCTAGGACTTCAGAAGGTTAATGTTGGACAATCTCCAGAACACTCAAGCCCATTGCTGCAGTGACTATGTCCACCTACCTGGTTGGGGGTTGAGCTATAATTTTTAAACCATGAAAACTGGAGCTTGGTATTCAAGCCATGTCAAAATAGTTACAAAATACCAGTCAATTTTACAAAAGAAAAAAAAATGTCATCATGGGAAAGAAATGCTGTTACATAACTTTTGTAGAACATACAATATTCTATTTATTAAGATATCCACTACTTTCTAAGTATTAAGCTTTAGACAACTTATTTTCTGGAATGGTATTAAATGCTTATAGTAACTTTTTACATTTAAGCTCTGATTACATAATTAGTCTCCTTTAGCAGCTTTAACTTATTAAAGATTCTACATGAGAATCCATCACTTGTCTATCCTGTGGTGGTGGTTTGCAAGTTGCTTTGATAGTGGATGTTACAGCACTGGTATCTTAAATATCATTGAGGTCGTCCACGATGAAGCTGCTTCTCTGCAGTATTTGGAGTCTGAAACTCAACCGACATATAAGTCGTCCCTGTGTTTATGGTGCAGCCTACCAGGGCAGAGTTATTTCTTCTGTGTCTCGTCTCTTTCCTCTTCTCATGGAAGGAGTTTCATTGGAGCTTCCAGACAAAAATACAAAAAAGCCTTAGAAAGTAGGCCTGGCAATCCACTTCTGGAAACCCTATAAACTAACAGCGAAGAATTGTCTAAGATGGAGCTCTGGTGGCCTAGTGGTAACCCAAAGGCACGTGGTTTGAATACACCAGATTCTATGCTGGAGAAAGCTGAGCAGTCTCCTCCCATGCAATTTACTGCCTCTGAAATCCCATTGGAGGGTCAGCTATGAGATGGTTCCAACATTGACTAACATAGTGCTGCTGCAAGGTGAGGGCCTCAGGTTTCAAGGTGCTCAAAATACGTCTCCTTGAAGTAGATAGAAATGGAGTAAAGCATCCCTTCTGCAGCCAGCCTTTGCTTTTGGCACCATGTAACTAACTGCTCTTATTCCATGAAGGAGGCACAGAAGGGACCATCTCCCCAAGAAGGCCGCACCACAGACGTAGGACTACTCTAGAAGTTAAGTTCCAGACTCTGAACATGACAGGAAAGCAGCTTCACTAGACCACCAGGAGCCAGCTATCTTTGACAAAAAATATTCTGTGTGCAGTCCTTGATGGAAGCCCGAGGCTCCCCTCACCCTCACCTTCATTTCAGAGTACCATTTACATCTTCTGGATTTTTATAATTGAGTAGGTTCCTGACTTCTAGTTACAACTGATAGAATCTCCTGCCCTCTGTGGAATGGTGGCTTTTTGTTGATTTAAACATGTCATTTTAAGCAAACCCAAATTTTCATGAAATGTGTCACACTTGCAAGACACATATTGCTATTTGTACTTCTTTAATACCTAAAGGTATTTAACCCATATTTCATATTCATGAAATTGATATTTAAACCATTTCATATT